CGGCGCTGCCCAGAGAAGCGATCCACGGAAAAGCAAGCGAAGACGCGCGGGAAGCGGGGAACACGCGTTTTCCTTTCCTCTGCACTTCACAAACCAAAGGAAGAGGGAGAAGAGCCGACCCCACGGATCAGGCGCTGACTGGTCGCAGGAGCGTCACCAGCATCGCTCCCTGCTCCGCTTGGGAGACACCAGGCCGGCATGGGAACGGGAACGCGTTACCGCTTGCCATGCGGTTTCTAAACAGCCCGGCAGCCACGTCACCCTCCCCGTCCCCCTCTCGGGGCACGCAGCCCGGCCCCGGCGGCAACACACCCTTCATTCCCAGGAAGAAGGAGCCCAACACGCCGGGCGGCCGGGCAGCCAGCACGAGGGACACGTCCCGTAGCCGGGACCAGCTCTTCCAAACACCCTGCGCTCAGAGTCACAGAAACGACGCTTATGGACCAGCAGTGTTTTGTCCCCAAAAAGGGTATAAATTGTCTTCCTACGTGCCAAACATAACTAAACCTGCTCTGCCAGGGCGGGAGAGAACCGGACGCTGCGTGAGCGCACGCGGGGGGACTCTGGTCACTCACGTCGCGGCTCCTGCTGGAGGAGCTACCTCAAACAAGGAGCAGATCCTCCTCTCGGCTCCCAGAGGCGGAATTTAGGGATGCCGAGGAACACAAAGCTAGGTCAGACCGGGATGACCGCGGGACGTACACGCTCCGGCCAGCCCGCACGCCTCGCCCTCGGTAGCGCCCTGCGAACAGACGAACGCCCCGAAAGGCGCCGCAGACACACAGGGTCGGTGATGAGCAGCATTTAATGTCCCGGCAGGGGGTTGTTTGGGGCTACCACCAGTAATACATCCCGGAGATCCATCAGAAACACGGCAGTCGTCCACCAAGATCCCCGCGAAGTGCATTCTGCAGGGGTAAAGCCTTAACGTTCTTCTGCGCGCGGCGCTACGGAACGCTTCTTTACAGAACACGGTACAGCGAAGCTCAGAGGCAACTTCAAATCTCACACCCAGCTCAGTCCAGTTCTTCCAGGAGTAGAATTCGCTCCG